CCAAGCGAATAGCACCTTGAATGCTCGGAGGACCTCCAATAACTGCTCCTTTAATTCAAGCGGTAAGGTTTTGCCTACCTTCACCTTCCGCTCTGGCTCAACCGGGTCCAAAGAAACTTCCTCGACCTCTTCCGCCGGCTCAGCTCGGGGTCGCCCCTCCTCCTTCTGGATCGCCGCACAGATCGTGCTCACATTCTCGTCGACTCGGGCTTGGCTTTTGGTCGCCCTGACGTAGCAGGACCGTGACAGGCTCTGGTTCCCCTTTGCTACCCCCACCCCTATGGGAGTGTTAAACTTTAGGCATAAGTGGACGGGGGAGATTACGCACTCCAGGTCCTCCAACCCTGGTCGTCCCAGAATCAGATGGTGTGCACAGTCGAGCTGTACTACCATAAACTCCATGTCGACCCAGAGTCGGTGGGTGCCATCTCCTACCCCGGCCTTTACCGTGATAGTTCCTTCTGCTTCGATAGTATCCCCTGTAAATCCTGACAGCGGCGTATGGATTAGCTTTAGGTCGCTTCGGGACAATCCCAACTCCTTAAAGGTGTTGCTGTACATTACGTTGACCGAGTTGCCCGTATCGACTAAGGTCTGGTGAACAACCACATTATTGATCTCCACTCTTATCACCAGAGCGTCCCTGAGGACTGAGGACTGGGGGATAATCCTCGTCTGTAAAGATCAGAGGTTCCTTCTTCTTTCGCTTAGGCAGCGGTGGCCTTTGTACCTCGGCCAGGTACACTATGTTTTTCCACTTCTTCCGGGAGGATACCGAATCTCCCCCAGTGTTTCCTCCCATGATGAACCGACACCCCAGGTGTCGGCGACCTTGCCTCTCCTCCTCATCTAGGTCATCACAATCTCGCCCTAGGTGCCGCCGTCCATCTTCTTGCCCCTCTCCTGCTGTGATCGCTGCCGTGGGGGATGGCGGTCTCCTCCAGGTCCGGTTACTTGTGGACGGTCGCTCTGACCGAGGAGGTGGCCCTCTAGCAATCAGCTGATCGATCTCCTTCTTCAACGTAACGCACTCCGACGTGTTATGGGTGCTGTTACGGTTGTACTCGCAGTATTTGGGTGCATCTTGCACACCATAGCTTTCCCGACCATGAGGAGGGGCCGGCAACGACTGTACCGCGTGGACGGGATGCCTGTTCGCATGATACCCAGTGGGGTTCGGCCCCTTACCATAATCCTTCCTTTTCTTTCCTTCTGCCACCGGTGGCCCGCTTTTCTTCTCCTTCTGGACTGGTGGCTCATCATCTTCCTCTTCCAGCGCCAGGTACTTCGCCCTGGCCAACATCTCTTGATAGGTCGAGAGAGGATTCCGTCGCAGCTCCTTACGCACATCCCCTTGGGGGAGTGCAGCTTGGAGCATGGCGATCAGGGCTTGGTCGTCCGCCCCTTGGACATCCCTAGCCTCCATCTCCCACCTATTAATGAACTCCCGGAGCTGTTCCCCCTTCCGGATCTTCACATTGAGCAAATGCGAGAAGGGGAGCTTTTGTCTCTGGCTGGATGCGAAGTGCTCCAAGAACTTGTGGGCCAGGTCGCCCCACTTATCTATCGACCCCTTGGGTAACTTGTGAAACCACTCACAAGCCTGCCCTTCCAGTGTCGCAAGGAAACACCGACACTTGATTTCTTCTGGATATGCGTACATGACCACGTTGGCCCCGAAGCGAGCGAGGTGGTCTTGGGGATCGGTCGTCCCGTTGTATGCCTTGATCTGGGGAGTCTTGAAATTATCTGGGAGGGGGCAGGACATTATCCTTCTGGAGAAGGGCGTTACCTCACTGAAGACCGCCTGGTGATACGGGTTCTGGGCATCCAGCCGCTTCTCCAGTTGTTCGTACATTTTCCACAGCTCGGCTGCGCCTTTATCCCCGACTGTCGTCCGTCACTCCTCAGACCCGACCTTGGAGGTCGCTGTGGACTCCCCTCTCTTCTCCTTGAGCGCGTCTCTCAAGTCGCCTTTTCGGGCCGACCGAGTGTCCTGCAGCCTTTCGAACGCAGAGGTCCGAGGTTTCTTCGACTTGGGATCTCCCAAACGGTCAAAAGCAGACATCCGCTCGAAGGAGGACGACTCGTCCTCTTCTTCCAGCCTGGAAAGCGCATTTGCCATTATAGCCTTCCCATTAGGCTTGGTCGCCTTCTTCTTCTAGGACCGCCTCACTTTCTTTTTTTTCCTTGGGAGCCCGCAGGTCCAGCCTTCTCGCCTATGGGTCCCCCAGCCACATCTCCTACCACAACCTCGCGGTTGGGCGCAAGTGCGGCCAGCACCTCCTTGAATTGTTCGGCCGTGATCCCAACCCTCTGAATGAGTGCCTCAGCCTCCCCGGTGGTGATGGGGGGGTGCCGACCTCCGGTGGCGCTGTTCTCCCCCTGTTGGGGAACTCCGGTACCTACGTTGGCGTTGCTGCGTGTTTGCACCATCGTCGTCGTGGAGGATTTCTTCTGAGTATGATTCTCGAACTCTCAACAAGAGCACCAATTTGATGGACAATAAACCCACCAAATGATCCGGTTTACAAAGCGGATCGTAAGAACAAAATTAAGAACAAGAATTCGAGAATTGGATGTGTATCACTAGCTTGATTTAGCTTGAGTTCTCCCCTTTCGGGTCCCCTCTATTTATACATGAGCTCTAAACAATTAAGGTGAAGCATAACTGATGGAGTCTAGCCCGCCAAGGGCGCGATCCCCTTTTCCCGGCTCCGTAACGGTCAATCAGCTCCGTCTCCTTCTCCGGACTGACTCTGCCAGCTGCGCTTGGCCTGAGGTTAACTAGGCCCAGCTCCTTGGGCCGGCCCAGCTTGAGTATTTCATAGGTGCTTGACCCGAAGTTGTTTAAATGGTTCATTTGGGCCATCCTCTGGATATCGGCCCATCAGCCTTAGACTTTGATCTTCCTCCGGCCATGATTGAGGCGTTTTTGAAGAAAGATTGAAGAAATATTGAGATTTGGATCAAGGAATGAAATTATGATGTTAATGGTGTATTAGAATGAGCAAATATGAGGGATATATATAGGGAATGGGAGATTAGGCCGTTTGGATTCAAAAATATAGCTGTTGGGCAATTAATGTGGTGCCCAACGGCTCTGAATTTTTGAAATGCAGGTGCCTTCCCAGCGATGGTAGGATCTACCCATCGATGGGAAGGTCGCCACTGGAAATCGAGGAAGGACCCAAGGCTGCCTTCCCAGCGATGTTTGGATTTTCCCATCGATGGGAAGGTGGCTTCTGGAAATTGACGAAGAAAAGAGCAAAGCCTCCCCAGCAATGTTAATACCATCCCATCGCTGGTTTGGTAGTTTTGAAAATCCGTTAAAAAATTTAAAAAAATAGTGTCAAGCACCCAGCGATGGGAGGAACTTCCCATCGATGGGTAGAGGGGTTTTGAAAGCAAGAAGCTTCCCTCCCAGCGATGGTATAACCCACCCATCGCTGGTTCCCCCTGACTTCCAGAATTCTTCACTTTGGACTGTCCCTGCAAA